AGAAGTTCAAGGGTATAACATCTCCCACTCTAAGTTATCCTCCAACATTAGTTATGTTAGCATTACTCCTCTCTTAGAGTAAACATTTAAATATCCCTTGCGAAATGATGTTGTAATCGTACCTCTAAGGGACTTCCTTATTACCTTGATAAGGGAAGGGCTAGGAACCTCAACGATTACCACAGGCTTAATAATATTGACCTTTGAATTTGTCTCCCCTTCATAATAAATAGTCACAACCTTAGGAGTTGTGTGTGAATCTTCCACCACTATGTTTATTAAGTTTTCTTGCATTCTTCGTAAAGCTCAATTATGGATGAATCCATCATCTATTGTACTTTTCGGCGAAAGGCTTTGCATACTTGAATGGAATGTCCATTGATTCCCATATGGTATTTACATGCATGCTTGGAATTGTATCTTGGATAACTAAAATGTTGGTCTATCCAAACTAGTTGAATCATACCAACATTGACTAAAGCTTTATATATTTCCTCCATCGAGGTTTGAACCTCGCTCACATTCAGTTTGATGTACTAAGCTATCTCATTTCCCACAGCACTCATTGATGCTCCTAGGTGATTAGGCAAGGGGTTTCACTAACATTTGGCTTAAGCTTTTTTGCAAAGTTCAAAAGTCCAACTTTGACCAATCCTTGCACCCTATGTTTCAAGGCTGTGCAACTTTCTATTAAGTGACCTTGAATCCCATAATGGCAATCACATCGAGCATTGACATCATACCACTTTGGGTAAGGTGGCTTTAAAGGTTCTTGGTGAACTTTTGCTAAAAGGTGGCATGTAATTAGTTCAGGAAGTAAAGATTTATAAGATATGGGAATAGGGTCGAATTTTTCTAGATTATTTCTAGGTTCTTTAGTATTGTTTGGTCGAGTAGTGGCTTGGAGGTAATGGTATCGGTTGGACACTTGTTTGGAAAGCCGATTATGGGGCCTATTAGTAAGGATAAGGGTTTTAGGAAATATTGTTTAAGGTGGATAATAGGGTTGATAAGGGATATAAGGTTGATATGGGTTGTATGCTCTAGCTTGAGGGCTTTCAAGTGTAACTACTTGGGATTCAACTTCCTTTGTTTTTACACACTACCTTTTCTAGAATTAGGGGTATCTCCTCCTTCAATCTTACCATTCTTAATGGCAACTTCAATTATTTCCCCTGATAATACCACATCTACAAACTTCTTGGTGGCATTTCCGACAAACCTTTCATAGTATAAGGCCTTCAAAGTATTGATGAACATGATTGTTATTTCTTTCTAAGTCAATGGTGGCTGGATTTGTGAGGGCAATGTTTCTCCACCTCTAAGCATAATCTTTGAAGCTTTCAATAGCTTTCTTTTCCATGCCTTGGAGGGTCGAACGATTTAAGGCCATGCCTACCACATGTTTATATTAAGCTACAAGTGCTCGTACCAAATCTTTCCATGAATGCACATGGTTTTTATCCAACTTATTATACCATCTGAAGGTCGATCCTGTAAGGCTATCTTGGAAACAGTGAGTTAACAAGTTATCATCTTGAGTGTAAGTAGCCATCTTACGACAATACATGCTTACATGTGCCATTAGACTCTTAGGACTATCGTATTTGTCGAAATCAAGGACCTTAAACTTGGGAGGAATTACTAGTCCAAGTATAAAACTTCATTCTAATGCATCAATAAAACCTAAAGCATCTGTTCCTTCCATAGCATGTAATCGTTCCCCTAAAAAGTCAAACTTTTTCTATGCTCTTAAATTATCTACAGCCTCCAATACGCCTGAACTCAACTTTTCCTGTTCCTTTGGATCATCTAAATCTAGTACTATAATTGGATGAGATGAGTTTACTCTAGTAGTTCTTCCCTACGTTAATGATTGTCCCCTATAATAAGGATGATCTCTCATAGAATGTATGGGATATTGGTGTTGTGTTTGAGACATTAGAGGTTGATAAATGGAATCATTATTACTTGAGATCTATTGGCTAGCTTGGTTAGCAAGTTCTTCAACCATTGTTTTCCCTTTGTTGATATTCATGATTAAGTCCATCATCTTAGCCAATTGCTCTTTTATCTCTTCTTAAGCTTTCTCTGTTTGATCCATTCACTCAACTTGTTCATTTTCCATGATCTTGATTTATAGCTGAGTGTTGTATGGGTGACCAATAGGTACTTTTGGCCAATGAGCTATCTTAAGGACCCTTTTTTATCATAAATATGAATCAAGATATGTTCATATGAAAAATAAGCTTAGACATGTAAATGCGTACTCTAAATATATTAGGATACCTTGAAATGTCTATGAAAAAAAAGCTTAGATATGTAAATGTATGCTCTAAATATGTTTTCAATATTTGCCATGCAACGATGGATAACGAAAGGAGACTTTTATTACCAAAAATAAAATCCAACTTAAACTACTTGCATTCAATCCAATAAAGAACAATCTATCTTAAAATAAAAAAAATCTCACCTAAAAAAAACTTATATACTTAAAAATCTAAGTTAAAATACTTAAAACGTCCAACTTGCTTGTAATGATCGAGCACTTCATCCATGAAATTGAGCAATCGTTGTCCATATACTCCATTTGGATGAATTTCAAGTTTGAGTAACTCTGTCTTTTTAACAATCTCCCTTGCCTTAAGGACTGCCTTATTAGTCTGCCTTGCAAAGGGTTCCACCTAAGCTTGCTTGGATAAAAACTCACACCACCGTGTCCCCCCAATGTTTCATGATCTTGCATAAACTTGATACAAAAAGCATTCTTGTTTGGCTTGGTCATAACGTTTTTGGAGGGTTAGAATAGTGCACTCATGTTGCTCACATTCTTCCCTTGGCCTTTGAATTTTCTCATGTTGAAAATGCGTCCTTTGTCCCATACTATTTATAAAAGTTTAGAACTTATCAATTTGCTTTTGTTTCGTGCTCAAGTCTTTTTCCTGTTCACTTTAATCTTTTCATAACCTACTAAGATCAGTAGTAATTGATGAAAGAGTATAGTCCAAGCATTCATATTTCTCCTTCCATTCATTAAGTTCTTTGCAAAGCTTCTGAATCTTCAATTCTCATTCTTTTGTCAAATCTTCTATTTCTTGTCACAGCCTCTTCTTTTCGTCTTTCCACATGGCCATTTTATCACATGATAATTCATTAGCCCTTGCTTTAGTGTTGTTAGTACTATTAGGCTCTAATTAAAGTACCATGTCTTTGACTTGACGTTGTTGCCATGTTAGATACTCAAAAGTAACTTTGTTAGCTAACCTTTCTAGACTTACTTTTTGTGCTTGTGTCCATTCTTTAACAATTTCATCGACCTTCTTTACTATCCATGGATGGCCATAAGAGAACTCGAGCTAATTGAGCCTATGCTTCATTGGGATGAATTACTCATTTCCAAACTACCTACATACCATGATTGGAGCATAACTTATCTCTCTCAAAGGCCTCAAAAGTGAAACCCATGGGTTGTCTCCACATTTGAATACCATGGATTCTCTAAACATCCAAGGTACTACTTCTGTACTAGCAAGATGTCGAAGCCTTGAAACCTACTTTGTTTTGGACTTTTTCTCATGCCATTGACTTTTGCAAAAGCAAATGCAAGATAAGGCTTACAAAAAATGTGTTTCTCACATTTGAAATGAATTTGAAACCACACAAATAGGAGTTATGCACATTCGATAAAACGTTTTTTGCCATGTCGTCGATAATAGTTTAAGGATCTAAGAGTTTTCTGCCAAAATTGCTTATGAAAGATGAATTCCATTTTCAATTTGTTTGAAAAAGTCAATGATTCTGTAACACCCCATACTCGGATATGGTGGCCAATAGAGCTTATTGGGTACCCATTGAAGTTAGTTAAAGCATTTAAGAGTGTTGAAGGGTGAAAGGAATAATTCGAAATAAAATATTCTGAACGTAAGAAAATAGTAATTAAATAATAATATTTTTATTGAGGATGAATTAGCAAGTTAAAAGGTGAATTAGAGGTAAACCGGGACAAAGTGAGACATTTTGAGTCCCGCGGAGACAAGTGAAAAATTTTAGAATAAAATAATATTTTATTAATAAAATAATATTAAATTATTAATATTTTAACTATTGTTGAAATTTGTCATGAAGAAGAAGTATATGGTTAATCTAAGTGGGGGAGAAGAAGTAAAAAATAATTTAGAAGAAAAACGACATTAGTGGGACCCATATGCCTTTATTAAATAAAGCTAGCATGGGTAAGTATATATTTAAATATTATGGTGATACCTTGGTGAAGTGCAAATTTTATATTTTGTTTGCACACATGCAAAGGAAGGAAAATAGAAAAAAATTAGAGTTTAAAACATGTTGGAAAGATCAAATTGTAAAAGATGAAAGTTTGGAGAGTTAAATGATAAGTAAGGAAAAGGTTGAGGACATATGTGTAATTGTAATTAAATGGACATTTACTAACCAAGAAGGTTAGATTATGTGAAATATGAGATGTGCATGTACAATTCACTATTACATGCAAATCATTACATTGAAAAAGAAGGAAGTTAGTGGGGAACATGTGGGACCTCACCATGTGAAAGTTGATAAAG